GAGGATTGTCGGAGAGGATAAGAAGAATTGGTTCCAAGTACATATATATATATATATTGTGATTCTTATATAATCAGAAATGATTATCGAATAACAAAATTAGTTAGCTGCCCAAATATTTTATTAAAGGGGAACTGCTGGAAGGTAGGGGGCACTATATCGTTTACTTGAACTATACTTAAAATCTGTTGACATGTGTATTTTTGTTCTGCTGATTCAATCATAATTTAATCAGAATTGATTAAGAGTAATATTTCCAAAAATTCAAAACGATTGTGTCTAGTAACATTCACAAAAAATACTATTTCAAAATGATGATTGTAGGCCAAATAAAAAGACATCCAGAATTAAGCAGGTCGAGTTGAAGAAAACATGAAACAAAAATAAATGTTCTCTATGTACATTTTCAATTTCCAGTAAATATCCAATTTATTAGGAATGGTCTCTAACGGTACACAACTGTTTCTATAAATTTAAGTAATTCGATACAAGTAGTACCTACTCAGAGATTATAACAGTAGACCAAACAAAATTCACATGTACAAAAATTCTTATTTCTCAAAATTGAAATGTATCCTTATAACAAATTGATTATTACTCTGATTAGAAAAACGACTCACCTAAGTATTTTCTCCAATCTTAACCACTTCTTTGCAAATACAGTGAAAAAGTGACCTCATACTTTACAGTATTACTAATAGTGCTTAATTGAATTGTTTAATTAGCATTTCCATGAAAAAAAATAACAGAGTAACCAGCGAAATATGGCACGTTAACAGTTTGTTTGTATTGTAACACTTCCATAACAATACCTCGCAGTGTTGGTAGAAACTAAACAAGGTTACACGTTACAGGTTACAGGAGCTGTGTAGAGTGTACAGGTAGACTTTCATATCATATCGTTTCATTAGCGTTGCCAAACTTCCATCTGTGATGTATCTTCAGTTTACCCAACAAAGTTTATTTCTTCACATTCCAGGAAAAAATCATTAATGATTCTTATGTAAAACTTAGTATAGGTCATGTTTTAACAATACAACAAATTAACTTTCAATTAAAAATTACGTGTTTTTGTCTACCTGTTGAATATTCGAATGTTTTTAATTTTGTGTATCTACTAATATTTCACCTTTACCCTTAAATATTTCAACCTAGTGACATATTTTATCTTCTTTGACATGTGCCATATGTGCCAAATAAGGTATTCTTCAGCAGAGGATTGGGATAGGAATTATTATTGGACAATTGATAAAATATATTTGAATTTTTATTGTGAAAGAAATGACCGAAAATAACGACCAGTAATTGAAGAATCTGCCAGAAAACAGTAAGTTGAATGTATTACAAAATATACTATTATTATACTATACATATCATGAGTAGTTCTGAGACAAGCTTCCAGATTATTATAGATAGGGTGGCAATCAGGTGAAAAAATATATTTGTGTATAAAAAAATGATTAATGAAGTTCAATTTTTTATCAATAGCTCTGAAACAATATTCGTTATCGAATTTGTAAGCTTATTTTAAACATCGGTAAGAAATTCTGTAGCTGAACTTCAAGTTCAGCTACAGAAAAAGTGTTTTTGTATTATTCAATATTCAAATGTAGTTGTTTGGAAAGTAATCTTTCTTTCGTGTAATTTAATGTTTATATGGAAGTAGTTGTTTCGAGAAGTCTTTTTCTTCCAGTTTCTGAAAGTAACTTCTACGCATGATCTACGTGTTAGGAATCACACGTTAAAAGGTAAGACCTCGTTAATTCTTAGCTCGCACAAGTTTCTACTTCTGAGGGTTGTTGTTCGTAGGGGTGTGACAGCTGGTTAACAGAAAAACAGATTTTAAACAGATTTTTTCAACAGATTTTTTCATGAATATTTCATTTTGGAATTTTTTGATTTCTTTCTTCCTTTGGAAGTTTCCACTTTTTTTGTATGCAGATGAAGTAGATATCCTAAATATTGTACTACTTAAAATTATCACTTTCAATTTGATATCTGTTTCTATACTCTCATTCATTTTATATGTATAAAGACAACGGCAATTTTCCCAGTTTGTGCATAGCTTGAAAATTTGATTTCTGTAAGAAGATTCCTGCCAATGTGTGGACGACTTATATTTTTTCTATTGTACTACAAATACTCACAGTATCACAGTCGGTTCTATCGATGAATTCCGTACCCGATACTATTGCTTACAACTGTTACTCGGAATCTTTTTTTGCTTTCCTTTAATGACAGACATTTCCAAAAATCAAAAATTAATATCCATAACGTGAATCCTTATTCTTTCTGAATCATGTATTCAGTAAGTGATATTCAAATTGAAAAAGAAATATTTTATTTTCAATCCTATATAGATTTCACTTAAACTACTTCAATTCACGATTTGGCCAATCTTCGAACAGATAATAGTTATACCAGATTATTCAGAATACCAAAGAACATGAAGATATTTTTTTCTAGTATTTACGATATAGTATGGCAACAATGTATTCCATTCAATTGTTTCTACCGCAACCGAATGCGGTCAAGCAACTTTTGTACCAGTTTCACACACAGTATGTTTTGTTTACCGGTTACTATGGTTTCTTCAATGACGATTTGTATTTTCTACTTGTGGGTAAGGACAGAAAAAAAAGAAAGGGACTGAAGCACAGTGAAACTGAAGAATAACAATTGGGTGAGTTTGAAAGTGTGCCACCTAAGGAAAAATACTTATGAATATTCCAATGTGTTTTTGATAATAATATTCTCTGAATGAGTGCCTGAATCGGTGAGTAAAAAATCAATAAAGGGTTATTTGTTTCAATGAGGTGAGGGTTGGTAGAAAATTAGAACAAAAGTCCAGGATTTTTTTCTTCATTGTCATGAAACATCCTCAACAAAGTTGTAAGTCTAAGTTGTAAGTCTAATATATCTTAATATTACTTACACGTACAATTTTGTAGCATCCCTGATGATGAAAACAATTTATTAAATTTCCGAAATTTTGAACAAACTTTATAAAGCACTCCTTCATTTGCTACAAAACCCCCTATTAACTGATTATATATTATTATGTTTTGAGGAAAACATCAATGCGCAGAGGTTTCTAGAATTTTTAAACACAGAATTTTGGGATGCTATTCACGAGCTGCCAATCAATGAACGATCAAATTTAATTGTCCAGTTAGATGGGTGTTCATTTCATTATGCCAGAGCTGTGAGGCAATGGCTTAACGAACATTTTCCAAACCGATGGATAGGCCGTGGTAGTCCGTTTATAGAGTGGCCACCCAGATCTCCAGACCTCACAGTTTTGGACTTTTTTCTCTGGGGACTTCTTACACAAAAGGTTCACAAAAACTGCTCAAGAGATAGAAATGAACTTTGTGTAAGAATTCAACAGGTATGTGCAGATATTAGCCCTCAAGAACTAAGGAACTTAATCAGAAACATTCGTAAGCGCTACGATACATGTATCGAAATACGTGGTGTATTAGTAGAGGCTACTAGAATATGAGTTAGAATTAATTGTTGCAATGAATCGAAACATATCAATAATTAGATATTAGTTACGTTTATTAAAATTTTTTGCTTCATTGTTAGTTGAATCGTGTGAATGTAATTCCGTTATTTTCATTAAAAATGTTTACGCCATTTGTTTTTTTTTTCATCAGGCGGCACTTTATTATTGAAATCATAAAAAAAATTATATATTGTGAACTGTTAGCTGTGAGTCTGACGAATAACAATATTTTATAAAAAATAATCTCAAGCATTTAGAATTGTATATCAAGTTTCATCTTCTCCAATGTATCAACATTTTTTCTTCAACATCAATGTAACCATCCTCACATAAGATGTAAGTCATGAACAATTAATATTTTTGATCTTACCTATTATTGTAGTTTCCCTGATGATGGAACCTCGACCTGTGTCGTGGTGTTAAAATAACGGTTTGGTGTTGGGAAAATACTCTAGTAATATTTATAATCGAAATGTTTCATTCGTATGATAAACCTATTGATGCCATTATGTGTGGGATATAACATCGTTCAAATGTCCGCCACGACTTCTCTGGGTGGAACACATCCGGAACGTCCACTTTTTCATTAATCTGGCGTATACATCGGGCTCAATTTGACCGATGGCATGGATTATTTTGGCTTTGAAGACGTCTGTGCTTTATAGCTTATTCGCATACACCTGCGACTCAAGAAAACCCCACAAGAAAAAGTATGTCTAGATCATCCAATTCAGGCCAAAAATAGTTGGTAATCATCGACCTATAGTGCTCGCCGTTGATAGTGATGGCCTGGCCACCGTCGTTCTCAAAGAAATATGGACCGATAACGCCGCCAGCTCAGAGTCCACACCAAGCAATGACTTTATAGGGATGCATTGGACGCTTTTGGATCTCATGTGGATTGGTATCCTCTCAAATTGTTCACGTATCCATTCATCCAGAAATGGGCCTCATCGCTGAACATGATTTATCTATGAAAATTTGGGTCAGTTGCTAACTGTTGGGTCAATAGAATTTTGCAGGTGCAGGCACAAGTCACGACGCGAAATTTGCCAAGTTGTGTTCTGCGAAAGGTTAGTTGTTATGAGCGACGCGAAATCGACTGTGTCAGATTATCCACACTGCACACTCTTCACCTCCACCTCTCCACAGAGAGTAAACTCAAATTCATCTACAGCTTCACTAGTTCGGACTTCCATTGTCTACTATATAAAATGATTTGAAATCCCTGAAACAACTAAAAAGAATAATTAAAAATGAACAGCTGAAAATAACAATTATATTAAGCAAAATAAACCTGAAATGAAATAATAGTGGAATAAACTACAAGTAAAAATAAAACAATTGAATAAATAAAAACAAAATAAAAATAAAGGAATAAAAAAAGAAAATAAAAATAAAAAGTGTAGAGATCTCAAGTCACGTTAGTTCACGACGTTTCGATTTTTAGTATCTACAATCGTTTTCGGGTGATGACTGGACTGATTCCTCCGAGAGATGACTATTTATAGGTCGTTCAAATACTTTCACTTATTCCTGCTTTCCATTTTCCGCTTCACTGGTTCCGTGGGAGATGAACGTTTTTGGCGGGAGTTGGCCATTTTTCGCTTGATGATGGGTTTCCATATGTTGCGTATTTCTACGCTGGCCTGCTGTGTACGCTGTGTACGAAACTGTTATATCCAACTGAAGGACGAATTCTTTACACAAGATAAGGGACTGCCAATGGGATCGCCACTTTCACCAGTCATAGCCAACATATATATGGAGTGGTTTGAAACTCTGGCCATTGAAGAGGCCCACAAGAAACCCCGAGTGTGGTTGAGATATGTTGACGACACCTTCATAATATGGAACCATGGGAATACTGAACTAGACGCCTTCCTGAAACACATCAACAGCGTGAGACCTTCCATCACTTTCACAATGGAGAAGAAAATCCACAACGAATTGCCATTTTTAGACGTTTTGGTGAAGAGGACCTACACTAAGTGGGAAACATCTGTATACCAAAAACCCACTCACACGGGACAGTATCTGAACCACGAACCCAACCACCATCAATCGACTGAAAGAAGAATCATCATGATTCTATTAGACCGTGCTTTTGGGCTCTGTAATACGAAGGAAGGTCTCGAGAAGGAACTAGACATCATCAAAAATGATCTTCAACGGAATGGCTACTCAAAAGCGATGGTAGAAAAGACTTTGACTATAAGACAGCAGAAGCCTCGCAAGGAAGAGAAGCCGTCACAACCAGTGCTTGCAATTCCCTTCATCAGAGGAATATCAGAGAGGATAAGAAGAATTGGTTCCAAGTACAACATCAGAACCTGTTTCAGATCCGGTGATACTATCCGTAGCAGCCTCACGAAAACCAGGCCACCAAACGCGAACTACGATTCCAAGAATTGCATTTACCGGATACCCTGTGAGTGTGGAAAATCCTTTATTGGTGAAACTAAGAGGCCATTGAATGTTCGCATTGCCGAGCACAAGAAGCACACACAGCGAGGGGAAACCAGCAAATCAGGAATAGCAGATCATGTTTGGACCCATCAACACAACATCGAGTGGTCCCAAGCTGAGATCTTGCACAGAGAGCAATATTGGTTTAGAAGAAAAATTCAAGGAAGCCGCAGACATGTTGCTCAATATAATTGTTATTTTCAGCTATTCATTTTTAATTATTATTTTTTAGTTGTTTCAGGGATTTCAAATCATTTTATATAGTAGACAATGGAAATTCGAACTAGTGAAATTCATCATGAAACATTGTCAATCACCTTCAAACAAACGTTCATCTACAGCATTGCGAACACTCCTCTCGGTAGGCGATTATGGCGAACGTTAAAAGGGCGAAGCGTGCCGTAGGTTGCCCGAACAGAACACCCATTTTGAAAAAGAAAATAATTAGTTGCACGTGTTGTTGAATGCTGCATTCGTCTATGATGATGTGTGTGTCACATAATTGTCAAAATTCGGAAGTCCCTGTTGAAATACTCTATATATGGTCCATGACAGTGACAGATTCTTCACTTATATACATATCGATAGCTTCTATTGATGAACTTTATGTGAAAAATTCAATAAACACAAATAAAAAATGTACAGTTAGCGCAAGGGTTTGCATATGAACATTTACTGACAATTCTACTAATCTAGCATAGAGATTCATAATCGCCTGCATGAAATAGTTCATTTGAGTCAGTTTAATTTCAAAACTACTTTTGCGATGCGTTCTTTAATAACAGGCGACAGGCGACCGTGTTGCAAATATTCCAGTGCCGAAAATCGTATGATGTTTGTAATATATCAAAGTTGGTTGAAATGAATGAAATGACCAGAGATCAAGGATTGAATTATTTGCCAGTCCCGTCGATTATAAATGTTTCTGGCTTGTGGCTGAAAGGTTCAAGTCCAGATTTCATCTAATCCACAATTCCGCTACTTACACAAACGAATATTTCAACAGCAGCGATGAAAAAAGCGTTGATTTTCGATATCCCTTATTTTTTTGGTAGAATTTGGAATTTGTGGTGTGAAATGAATCTTTCGAAAACGCTTCTTCCTCACCAGAACAAAATTGCCGTTACTCGACGCGCGTTTGTCAACCAAGTTAGCATAATCAGGAGATGACTGAGATTACTACTTACAAGCTATGTTGATGTTTTTAATGCTCACTTTTTTCTACCTGTTATTGTGTACTAACGTGAACACTAGCCTATTGGGAATGGGCTTCATCTCATTCCATATTGTATCTTACAGTTGTTTGTGTGGAACCATCTGATTCTTGATGTGTTGGAACGCGAGTTTCAGTATTAATGAATAAGGAATGCCACATATGCAAATGATTAGAAATGTATTTACAGGAAATGTTTCGATAATGCAAGATGTACAAAATCGGTGGCCAACGATGTCTGCTTCTCTGCGCAATAACATTACTACTTCAACTGCCAAGTGTGAGAAATGGTTTTGCATGTTTGAGCAACCCGTGCGTCCATGGTGTCTGCCTGGATGATCTGAATTCGACATATTTCTGTTACTGCATCGACGGTTACACTGGAATCCAATGCCAAACTAACTGGAATGAATGTTGGTCATCACCATGCCAAAATGGCGGCATTTGTATCGATGGCATAGCCATGTTTGATTGTTCCTGTCCAGCAGGATATGCAGGTGAGTTACCAAGTGTTTAGTACATTTTATTGTGAAGCAATAGGGATTCCATCATAATATTGATTTCATCATCACTGTCGAATAAAAATATTTCAACTTAAGATTGCTGAAGACATTCACGAATCATCAAAAGTTGATCATTCTACAAGAGTTTTTTCTGCTTCATCAATAGGACATGTTGAAGATATTGAAGATTACTCAAAGCTGTTGGTGTACTGAGAAATTATCTGGAATTTTTGTTTATCAAAGAATGCAAACTTTCACGGCCAGAGAAAATTGGTGTGAAAACTATTTACCAGGGATTTGGCCATTTTATAGCCGTTTTTCGGCCGATAAAATTCAAAATTACAATCCAGAAGTATATGTATAGAGAGGCAGAGTCAAATACATGCATAGTAGTTACTGCGTTGTAAACAACAGGAACAACAGCTCGAGCACTAATTCGGGCACTACGACCGTTACCACATCGCCTTTGATAATGTCTACCGCAGTAGTATACGAAACGTCAGGCTTAAAAACCTGCAGACCACGGGGAAAAACCCCGAAAATAGCTTTCACATATTCATCTTTATGGTACCGTCTTCATTTGTGAGAAATTGTGTTTTCAAAGACACTTTGTAATTTTTTGTCAATTCTTCAATTTGCTATGATTGAATATTTTTTGAATTCCATTCATCAAAATCCAAAATAATTTGTACTAGTATCCCCACGAATGACAAATGTCGACCTATTTTTGTATAAAAAAAAGGTTGAAAGGAAGAACCTGTAAGACCAAGGCTAGCAGGTCATGCATGACATATGCTGCTAAAATGGGGCTAATCTTTGCTCTTATTGGAGTACCGAAAGTTTGTTTATAAATTTTACCATTGAATGAGAAATATGTGTTATTGAAAAGGAAAATTATAAGTTGGAAGAATTCGTCTTTTTGAATATCACCAAATTGACTAATACGTCCCCATTTTCTATCAATAAATCTGAGACAAGCACCTAAATAGACAATGCTGAAAAGAGATACGACATCTGAGCTAGCAATTACATAGTTGTCGGGTGATTTCCTATTATTGAAAGTAGAAAAAACATCGAAAGAATCATCAATAAAATATTGGTTTTCGAATTCATATTTGTTAAAATTTCTATTGAACTTGTAATGTAGGATCTTTACTCACAAGTTCAACGAAACTGTAATGATTCAATTAAAACATGGTTTGAAGTCAAAGGATTGACGAAGTCACAAAAAAGCGTGTCACTAATTATACTGGGACTTTACCCAAATTTTATGCTTTGCCTAAAATACATAAACCAATCCTATCTATCAGACCCATCATTGCTTCATTTGGTTATCCAACTGAAAATCTTGCAACATTTCTCACAGAAATTTTAATGAAAGCCTATGAATTCACAAACCAATATTTTATTGAAGATTCTTTCGATGTTTTGTCTACTTTCAATAATATGAAATTACCCGACAACTATGAAATTGCCAGCTTAGAAGTCGTATCCCTATTCTAACCATAAATAAATTATTTTCAAAACTTGAAGATAAACTCCTACAAATTTTCAATCTCATTTAGTTTTCTCCATACCATGTTTGAATTGTAGTAATAAATATATTGGTCAAGACTACTTAAAGATAGAATCACTCAACACAAAAGTGATAGTAGATTACATCCTGAGACAATCAAATAATTGCCTCAACAAAAGATCAGACATTGATCACCTCAGCGACATTTATGCATTTCTACTTAATATCGATAAAAATTTACATGATTTTCAAATCAGCAATAATGCTGAATTCTCATTAACTTAAGTCACAACTTATTTTAAAAATGTATCGAATCTCCAACTTACCTGAGGCAGAGCTTTACTTCATTTCAATAACACTTTTTCATGTATTTCATCAGTTCGGACTCTCATTGTTTAATATAATATAAATTGATTTGAAATCCCTGAAAAAAATAAAAGATCAACCGCGGTGTTAGTGCGCCCGACTCACGACCGGAAGGTCGTGGGTTCGATTCCTGCCTCGACCAGGTATTTTTCTACATAGAATTCATCTGGTTGAAGCTGGGATAATTCTGCAACCGTGTTAGGAATCACACGTTAAAAGGTTAGACCTCGTTAGTCCTTAGCTCGCACAAGTTTCTCAACTTTTGAGAGTTGTCGTTCGTATAGGGGCGACAGCTGATTAACGGAAAAACAGATTTTAAAATCGGTTAATCTCTTATTTTTTTCAGGGATTTCAAATCAATTTATATTATATTGGACAATGAGAGTCCGAAAGTCCGAACTGATGAAATACACCACGAAACATTGTCAACCACCTTCAAACAAACTTTTTCATGTATTTGACATTGGGTTTTCTTATTGATAATCTCACAAAACAGCAGATGACTCTAATAACACTTGCACCATAATTGTTCTCTTTTGTTCCATAGTTCAACATAGATATTCAAACAAACGATTTTTCAAAATGAATCACATGACAGCTCTCAGTGTCAACCTTTTTTATCATCTCTCTCTCTCTCTCTGTGGCCTACAGCCACATGGCTTTTACCAGTATTTTATAATTTCAAACCATGTAACAATTTTATTATGTGAATTTAAATAATTTTGCTTATATCAGTGAGAAGTCAAACCTTTTTTAATTTGGTGACATGTTTTATTTTATTGACATGTTTCAACTGTTCGACACGGCATCCTCACTAACAATAAGTTGTGTTTTTTTTCAACAAATTTTATATTTTTGTATCACTTTTTTGTAGCTCCTCCTTGATAATGATAATAAACGTTTTCGAAATATTGGAATAACTTGTGTTATAAGAGTACATTTCCGTTCTGCTGATCCTAATTTCAAAAACTACACCTCACGATTTGATCTCCACAAACTTCACATTTATTTATTTTATGAAAATATAACCAGAGATATTTCAAAATCAGAAATTAAAATAACTAGCAGAACATTTGAAAATCTTTCGGCTAAACATACAAATTTTCTAAGACGTTCACTACCTCATCAAATTTGGTACGAATATGAAAAAAGCACAAACTACCAAATATAACAAAATTTGTGATAATATGAATCGTAAGAATATAAATAAATTGGAAATATTTAATATATTCAGAAACCAAACTAATGAAAAGTGATTAAGAAATTTTATCGAAGCCAACATTCCTAAAGATATTGGACAATTTTTTCCGCTTGGATACAATTTCAGTTTACCTCCAACAACAAAAGACATTTCGACTCCAAAATTGTTGTCGGAAATTGAATGTATAATGAATGATTTCAATGAAAATTAGAAAAGTGTTTACAGAGTCAAAATCACCAACATGCTTACTAATTATTTCCAAAAACCACATAATAAAAAACCATCTAATCAACTATATAAAAAATCGAATATTTTTTTTGCAAAATCTCCCAAATTTGATACTGACTAGATCAGATAAAGGTAATGGGACTGTTATAATGAACGAAAAGTCCTTTGGTATACCTCATCACAATCTTATATTTCTATGAATGAAAGAGATCCCACCTTAACCATTCAACAAAAAGCAAATAACCTCATTTCTGAATTGAAGAAATCTAAAATGATATCTAATGAAACGGCAAAGAAATTCATGATTTATAACACCAAAATACGGATTACCTAAAATTTCACCAATACTTGCACAATACGTTATGGCATAACGTTATGGTATACTTGATAAAGTAGTTTCAAAGTTCCGTTTTAAAAAAAATTGTTGATGATGTTATTTGTCCGGAAAGATAAATTGCAAGAAATACTTGAAAAAGTAAATATCGTATTCAAAAAATACTTTATAGAGAGATTTTCACTAAACCGTTTTACAAAAACGCATCACGTGTTTCGCCATACAATATACAATGGCTTCTTCGGGCGTGTCATTACTAACTATATTTTACATATTCAAAGCTTTGTATACCTAATTTTGAAATTTGAAGTACCTACATTTCAAGTACCAGAGTTTTACCTGAGTTGTAATGAATTAATATACCTGAGCTAATGTCCCAGTTTCCACATTTGAAAAAATATTCAGAAACGGGGACTTATTCAATTCTAATTGATCATTCAGTAAATTACCAGAATTTTTGAATCTAATGATTTCTAACGTCAATTTCAATTTTCTACGACCACGTTTGAAGTCAGCAAACCAACGTTTAACTGTTCCATTGTCTGATATGATATAAATTGATTTGAAATCCCTAAAAGAATCTGCAAAAAAAATCAAAAAGGTTAGCTGAAAAAACAATTTTATTAAGCAAAAAACTGAAATTACAATGAACTAACATACAAGCAACAACCAAAAGAAAAACAAAAAATTGAACTATTAACACGAGCTGAAAACCACCTTCAAACAAGTATCAAAAGTATTGTCACTCTTGGCACAATAACTCACAAACATATGAGTAGAATAAAATTAAATTCCAACAGTTTTCTTTTGGAGGTTAATGGTAACTGAAAAAGTGGTAAATGCAATGAGACTAGCGCCATCTTTAGGCCCGAGACTTTTCAGTTCATGTAGTACATATCACCAAATATACTTTTTTATATAGACCGGAAAAATGAATCACCCATTATGAATAAATTAATATTATTTGTTTTCTTAATTAAGCTTTACTGTGATATTTTTTTCAAATAGGTTTCACTTTCATACGTTTTAGGTACTTTATGTGAAGAAGATATTAACGAATGTGAAAGTAATCCCTGCCAGAATAACGGAACCTGTTTGGATGCACAAAATGGCTACACATGTAACTGCCTACCTGGATATTCAGGAATGTATTGTGATATAGATATTGCTGTCTGTAACGCCACCAACGAAACGAGATGTTCAAATGGGGGAATATGTGAAGAGGGACCTGGAGAAACATTCACTTGCCGATGCCAACCGGGTATTTTATAATTTCATATTTACTACAATCCTTATTGGGACATTGAAAACTTAAAATTTTTATATTTCGCCTTGTATATGATATTGTTGAAACGTCTACGTGGGACAAATAAATTTCTTCTGTTGAAGTATTTAGTGATCGTAATTGAATGAGGGGCGTGAGCGAAAGTGGCGGAGTTAGTACCGCCTTCCAGTTAATATTTTTCTCTCGAGAATTCATCTATGCTGAAGGCACTGAAAAAATGTATGAAACAAATATCACCTTGACTTGTTAAGTTCCGCTGAGAATAATTGTCAAGAGTTAGAAAGTATCATTCTTCCGGAGGAAATATATTATATTTCGTATATTTTAAATGGTATATAAAGTAAATAGTATATGAAGCTGCCGTTTTCAGAAGATGAAGTAGACTACTTCTTCAACTTCTTATTCATCTCCTGAAGACGCCAACTTCGTTGGTAAAACGCGCGTCGAGAAAAGTATGATAGTTTGGGAACAGTGCTTGTTTTAAATTTACTTTGCGCCAGAGTGTCCAGTTCTACCTTTCATCGTCATTTTATTTGAAAGTTTTTTACTTTTTTATATAAAGAAAAAAAAACAAATAAAAAATTACGATGGATGTTCAAATAATGAATGTTAGAATTATTCTGAATTGTCAGCTAGGGAATCAAAAATTCATCACTGTCATTTATGGAACAGCGAGAGCTATGCGGATCTAGAAAGAACATTCTATTTACAAATTCGTGTATAACGCGCTGTATCTTTGTTGCGTTCCTTTGCTAGCATTCCTCACACAATTATCCCTACTTGCCTTGTATGCTGCTCAATATTATATAATATTTTAACGACTTGACTGCATTTGATGAGATAATCCGCATACCTCTTATCGATTCCACATCATATCGTCACCACCAGTCGTTATTGCAATTAATTTTTTTTCCGATGATAGCACTTACAACTAAAGTTTTAATTTCATACCTTCCGATTAGATTTCAAATAATGGAACTTAGGTTATGAACTTAACGTAAAAAGAAAAACAAATGGTAATGGTAAAACAAAAATAGTGTTGTTGTATTTGGTTAGTAGGTATGTGTGAGGTAGGGTCAGGAAAATGTCCTTTTATTTATAAAATGTTAAATAAACTTCAATCTTTTAACATGTGATGCACTGTTTGGAACCTTTGGTGTAGTAATGAATACTACCGGAGTTTTTTCCAGCACCAAACCGTTATTTTAACACCTCGACACGTATTTCCATCACCAAGTGATCATCATCGAGAGAAAAGTGTTGAGAAAAAACTCTAGTAATATTCATTATTATTCAATCTTTTTGTCAATAATGTATAGATCTACGCGAATGTTATCTCTGACAGATTGAAGAATGTTTACCTAACTTGCAAACGTTTTATTTCCCACTTTATCAGAAATTTTAAATTTTCGTACCCAAAGGTATACTAGTCAAATGATAAAAATTAAGTGCTACCTATGTATTATTTTGGTTTCTAATCAAATTCTGAATTATAAAACACAAGACCTAAAATTATCGTGAGAAATTACACAGAAGGTGTTGATCCAGTTTTTTATAGTTTGGTTCTCGATATGAACAACAGCAAATTCGAAGTGTATTTTCTAGGTGGGCGTCCGTTAATCTCGAACGACATTTATTTTTCAAAAAATTCATCTTTGAGAAAGATGTTTCACATACATATGTCGAACCAAACATAGTATCCAAATTTTCAGCTAGTTTCTTGCAATTTTCATAATTTTCTGAAACATGTTTGGTCCAAAATTCTTCAGTGGATACCGTTTCATACATTTGCAAATCAATTATCTCTATTTGAAGTGATGCCTTTGACAGCCACATATATCCATTCCGCCGCTACATCAACTTCAAATGACGATTTAAGAAACGGAGATAGCTTGCCCATTTCTGCAAAGTCTTGGAATCTTGTAGCAAATTCGTTCCTAAGATCGGCCAGAAATTTTACAAACCCTGCAATGTCTTCTTCAGAGTTCTTTTCATATTAAAGAATTGTCGGAATATGAATAAATTCTTGTCTTGCAATATCTAGCTTGCGACGAAAAGCAGACACGTTTTGTATCATTATATTAGTCACATATTGATTTTCCATTTCCTTGTAATTCTGTGTTGAGCGCATTTGAATATTTCAAAAAATCATTCAAAAAAGCCACGACCAGCATATTACGCTTGTTTGTGCTTTCTGGCTCCCTCCGTATCTAAGTTTTGCAAGAAGGATGTTAGTTTTTCTTTCAGCCAGAAACTTTCAATAACTTAACCTTTACTTAGCCAACGAACATTTTGTCGTGTCGCAATTAAGTCAGAATATGCTGTCAGAAAGAAACTCCTTGAAATGTCGGTGCTAAAGAGCAGAATGAGATCTTATAAAATTAATCAACTTGATCAAGCTCTCCATCACTTCTTTCAGTGTAGCATTAAGTTTTCCACAAAGGGCTGCCTGGTAAATTATGCACTGATACGATATTAGACCTGAGTTTTTATCCTTGATTCTCTTTACTACACCTTTTTATTTGCCAATTATTGCTGGGGCTCCGCCAGTTGAAAGCGACACCATTTTATCCTAACTAATGTTACATTCAGTTATAAATTCATCAATGACTAATAAATCTTCTCCTCGAGTGTAACCCTTCAACAGAAATATTGCTAGCAACTCTTCCCTGAAAATCTGACACTCAATATCAAGAAATCGTCCGAAAATAGACATTTGTTCATCATCAACAATGTCACATGATTCATCAAGTGCTACGGCGTAGCAAGGTGCCTTTCACAGAAGATTGTTTTTAATATCAGCAGCAAAAATTTCCGTTTTTCGGTTATTATTTCGTCCTGATAAAGAAATACTTTGAAATGCAGCGACAACATATTTTTTTTCCTAAAGTGCCGTGACTACTTCTAACATACATTTTTTCACCATCTCAGAATCTGAAAATAGTTTCTGCTGTTTATCACACACGTAGCGCTGCTTCTGTGGATTTTTCTTGCTAGCTTATGCAACGAACTAGTAATTTTATTCTTTTTTTTGAGAACTGAGATATGAATGAAGTTTTTATTTACGAGCCTTACTGCCAAAAGGAAAGTTTTTGTGAAATTGCTGATGAGTTGTTTCGTAGTGTCGCTTCAAATCACCACTCTTAACAATAGCGACAGTTTTATTGCATATAAGGCACACTGGAACCGCTTGAGGTCTATTAGGCAGCGTAAAATAATATTGTTCAGTCCATTCTGCCAGAAACCTCCTATTTTCACTGTCCACTTCACGCTTTTTAGAATCCATATTAGCATAGGTAGGAAAATATTATGAAAACGCGAAAAATCACAAAACAATGCGCGGTTTGCGGTTTGCGCTACGACTGACAGTCTGCTTCCCCCACCCACACGCCCGCACCCCCGATTTTGATACTCGCTTGCGCTTGTTTCAACAAAACAAAATAGTGGCAATCGCGTACAAACACACATAAACACAGGTTAGATAGGAAACTAATAAAACCATATCAATTGTAGCTACTTGTAAAACAGGTTGACTAGGCGACTTGAAATAAAATAAGTACATACTTAGTTGAATTCTATGTGGCTTAAAAATATTACTTCAATCAATGAAGGTATAGTATACCTTATCTACGTATTAATTTTTATACTTGGTATAAAACACATTACAGTATTTGGCGGTTCGATGTTCGACTTTTCGCGGTCCGCAAATGGACCGCGGCAGCGGTCCGCCTCTTGCTAACCGTTGTTCTAGGCGTTCTTTTGGTATATATGTAATTCTGGTTATTCAACTGATGCCGGCTACACACAAAAAAAAACATCACTGTAGAATAAGAATTTGCATTTGGGTTGTATTTTTGAAATTTTCAGTTGTTTCAGAAAGTTGTTGATATATTCAAAAATATAATTCGTTTTTAACATTATATTTCTACAGATGCAGATTGGGCTCATTTGTGATTTCTTTTGAATTCAATTATAAATCTAACTATATTTAATTACTCAGTGTTGAAGGGACATCTAGCGACTTAGTTCTTTACGCATCGGAAAATTTAAATCTCGTTCTGCATAGGAACAGCACAAGAAAATTTTAGTATTCTTATGAATATTGACTACTTTTCAGTAGATGGCAGCTCTGATACTGAATTGAGAATACGCAATTTAAAAAGCTTGTTTTAGTTATTTATGTTGTTAATTTAAAGAAGAAAGAAATTGTCGTATTTTATGAATTTTATCTTTAGATTAAATCGTTTAATCGTTTAATGACCTGTAAAAAAGTAATGGATATCGTAGTAGAACAATTTCATGCCAGTCCATGATTATTTGGAATATTCAATCAAACTATTACTTTACAGGTTGGGGAGGCTTGTTGTGCGATGTGGAAATAGATGAATGTGCCTCAGCCCCTTGTCAAAACGGAGCAGCTTGTATAGATTTACATGCTAAATACTCATGTGCTTGTCTTTTTGGTGAGTACGGTGATTTCATTGGCAAGAATGAGTTTCCTAAAGTATTCTTTTTTATGCAAATAACACCTAGATTTTAGTTCATCTGATGCTGAATATTTTCTGTTCAAATACTTTACAAAATATTGAAAGTACGTAGTACTCATAACATTAGACAATATTTAGGAAAGGTTTTGGCTCACTTCTCCATCTTTAACATCTCTACAAAGATGTGTAGATCATGCATAAAAGTTATCTACTTTCTGACACAAACTGAAAGAAAAAGCCCGCTCGAAACAACTACTTTCAGATGAACTATAAATTACACGAAGAAATAGTACTTTCGAAACAACTACTTTTATGTGGTGCTGAAGAGGAGGAAAGGCAATAAGGCAAGTGTTTTATTCCGTAACATCGATGTCGCCATTGTGGATGACGGTGTTCCATGTAAGTGTTTTTTTTTCAATTCAATGTTTATATGAAAGTGGTTGTTTCGAGAAGGCTTTTTCTTCCAATTCGTGTCTAAAAGTAACTTCTATGCATGATCTACAATCTTTGTGAATAGTTTATTTTGATATTATTTAATTTCTTTCTTCCTTTGGAAGTTTTCCACATTTTTCATTTCACTCATCCAAAAATTATGTAGAAAAATGTTACTTTTCGAAAGCCTGGAACACCGTTTCGAACCAGAAAACTGTACATATCTCAGCAAATTTTGATTCTGAAGCTCAGATCAGACCATTGGGGTATTGTTCTCATATATAGAGCTCCGCCCCTATAGGCATACCCTGAAGCTGCTGGATTCCATGCAAAAAGGAGCCATCCGCCTGATTGGTGACTCGAACGTCACTTGCAACTTTGATAGTCTGGAACAGGGGTCTCCGAAACTACGGCCCGCGGGCCAAATCCAGCCCGCCAGTGTCATCAATCTGGCCCGCGACAGCCAATGATTACCTAATTGTTGTTACTATTGCTGTGATAAGTTGAAGAAGAAAACACAGAATGATAATTACTCTGTTTTATTTACTTGCAAGGTAAAACTTAACGACAAAAATGATGACAAAGAAAACTTAACTTAAGTATCTAAGTTAGGGCATATTTTTTCGGCTACTGCAATCAAGCATTCTTTTATCATTTCTCCATCGGTGAATGGTTTGCCACGTTTTCCGATTTCAAGAGCCACACGACAGCTGGTGCGAGTTGCAGACTCTTATTCAGTATTCGCTTCGGTAAACAAAGATTGCTTCGATTTGAGTCCGCGTTTCAAAGCTTCAAATTTTTCCTTCCGCAAACTTCCTGTATACGTGGAGTAACTTTGAAGATGTTTTGATTCATAGTGTCGTTTAATGTTATAGTCTTTGAAAACAGCTATGGTTTCATTACAAATTGAACATAGCGCCTTATTACTGGACTCAATCACAAAATACTGAAAGTTCCATTTTTCTTGGAACATTCTGCATTCACTGTCGATTTTTCGCTTCTTTTCCATACTAGCAAATCACACATAGAAACAATAAGTCAAATCAAAATACATTTATTGACGTGTGTTACTTTATTTCACAATAGACAGTTTCGCTTCCTTCGCCTTTCCTACGCAGACTAACTCGCACCCCCCATGCCCCCTCCTGGGTTGAGTGCCCTGAAGTAGAAGCTTCCCCCCAGCTATTTAGCGAGGAGAACCTACTACCCCACTCCATCCACCCCCGCTCTCTGAGCGGTCCTCAACTTGCTGATGGGCACTTGAGCAAGATTGACATCTGACCTCTTTTGGTCGAAAGTCAGGCTTTAGGTGCTTTTACTTTCTTATCGAATCTTTGTTTTATCTGACTATTCCTGACTGAATTCAAGCATGTGGGCTCCCAAAAACTAACCGGCGACTTTGTGTTTGTTATGCATCGAGCGTTTCTCAGTGCATCCAAGAAAAATTTTTAGAGTCGCGATCGCGGTCGAAGTGTTCTTCGCTGAACCTAACTGGAAGAGAGTGTATCTGGTTAGTTTTATACTTACCTGAGTTGCCTGACGGCGACTAACGGGGGCGGTCTGTTATTCTGTTTAGTCGGCCTGGGATGTTTGTCCCTTTCTCGGAATCTGGGGTCATCCATATTTAACGCATCGTGTAGATCGCGGAACGCTGGATTTGAGTGCGATCTGATTCTATCGAACGTGCTTTCAGAAGGTCATCCTCGTTTCCTTCAGGTTTGGAGTTTAGCTCCCCTACCCTTTCAACTGATTATTGGTCTCAAGAAGGACCAATGGGTTCATGACTGATGGTATGACGGCATGTAGTCCTTAGACATCAGTGCCGCCCTTTACGGGATACCCCTATCGAACGTGCTTTCTGCATGTTCTCCCATATACACGTCCACATATTGCGTGTCCAGGTCTAAGTCTCTGTATATAAATCTGTTGGGTATATAATAAGGTGCGTTTACACCGGCCCTTACGCTCGCATTCATAAACAATTGGATCTTCTTTCTGTATGTCTGCGCACGGGCCCCAGGCAGTGCATGCATACAGTATTATTGGCATTAGAATCGTTCTGATCATTAGTAACTTGACTTTCAATGCCATGTTACTGCTTCTTCCTATGATCGGCGCCAGGCGTCGCCTGGCCTGTCTGGCCATTCCTAGAGCGCCAACTTGTTAAAGTTGTTCTCTGGCTTGGGCACGTCTGCCGTGTATACGGAGTAGAAGTGTGGCGAAAGGACTGCACCTTGCGGGACTCCTGCCTCCAGTAGTCGAACTGTTGATAATTCGTCTCCTACTTTGCAGCGGCATCGTCTGTCAGCTAGAAAAGACTGAATTAATCTCACCATTGGTTTTGAGTATCCAAAATCGCTCATCTTGGCCAGTAGCCCGTCATGCCAAACTCTGTCAAACGCCTTGGAGACATCTAAGAAGATAGCTCCGGTATTGTATCCTTTGCCAAGGTTGAAGCCTTCTGTCGCAAAATCCACTACCCTCAGGACTTGTAGCTCTGTTGAGTGTTCTGATCTAAAACCGAATTGTTCGTCGGGGAGGATCCCTAACTCTCTAGTTTGTTCTTCCAGTCTCTTCAGGATGACACGCTCCGCCACTTTGCTTACGGATGGCAGTAAGCTAATTGGCCGGTGGTTCGCTAGAAACAGGTGGTTCTTCTTGGGCTTCGGTATGTGGATTACCGTTGCCTCTTTGAACGGGTACGGGAAGTGTTGCAATCTGAGTATAGCATTTATGATTTGGTTATGGCTCCTATACCCTATCGCGGCAGCACTTTCAGTGCTCGATTTGTTATATTGTCTGGGCCTGGTGCTTGCCGAGTGGCAAGACGTCTCAGAATGTTCTTCACTTCCTCAGGCGATGTCGGGGCCAGGGGTTGCGTGTTATCTGTCCGTTGTCTAAGCCTCCATACCGTTCTTTTCACCTGTCTCTCTATTTTGTCTACCTCATCTGTGAACGGGACGTCATGCTTCCGCCAGTGTAGACAATTCCTTGCTCGCCGTGTATCGGTGGGCAGGGTCGTCGCGGTCCATCTATCCTATTTGCTCTATGCATGCACCTTTTGTCCATAGGTGCACGTGTCCTTTGGTACTGTCTTTTCAGGCGTCTTCTTATTCTGATTAGTTCCATCGTTTCTGGTGGAAGATGCTCTTGGAAGTTATAGCGCGTGGCTGGGACTTCCCGCGCGCTTCTTTCCGTTGTTTGTATGATCGCCTGCTGAAGCTGGTTCGTGGCGTTCTCCAGATCTGTTTTTGTCTCGATGCGTAGTATCTCACCCAGCGCATCATGTATGGCTCGCTGGAATCTTGTCCAGTCTATGACTCGCCTTGTTGGGTTGTCTGTTTCCACTTCACCCCTTTCTATTGTGAGTAGGATGGGGTTGTGGTCTGACGAACCTTCGTCTAGTACTTCCATCTCTATAGTATCGATGTTCTGTACTAGCGTGATGTCGAGAATGCTTGGGACTGCGTCTGCTTGCGGATAGTGCGTTGGGCTGTTAGGTGCTACTACCTAGATGTCCTCAAATTCTTCTAGTAATCTTACTATATCTCTGCCTCTTGTGTTTGCAATTCTGCGGTTCCAGTCTGGCGACTTTGCGTTGAAGTCGCCGATGGCCACTGTAGGATGGTGATCTGGGAATAGTTCTGCCATGTCGGTTCTTTCTAGTCTTCTACCTCGAGGAGGTAGGTATACCGACGATATTCTCAGCTGTTCATAGCGTCTCACGTTGACTCTGACCGCTACTACTTCTCCGATTTGGACATCTGGTTTTCTTTCTTCGTTTTGCTCTAGATCTGTTTTTACTAGTAGCGCAACGCCACCCGCGGCGTTGCGCCCCCCGGCCTGTCTGTCCTATATATATTATATCCTGGGATTCGGTAGCTCTTTTCGCTTCTTATCCGTGTCTCCTGGAGTGCCATGACGTCTATTTCTAGACGTGACAGTAGCTCCAGTAGCTCTTTTCTTCTGTCTGTGAAACCGTTTATGTTCCACGATCCTATAACTAGTCTGCCAGGCACTCGTACTGGCATTACTGTTTGGCGGGTGCTTGTATTAGTGCGGCTTAGACCGCTTGCGCGATCTTTTGCTGCTCGGCTGTCAAACTGCTAAGTATTTTCACTAGGTCATTTTCGTTGTTGGTTGTTGGTGGTTGTCTTGTTGGGGCTTTTTTAGCCGATTGCTGTTGTGGCTTCGGCGTCGGTCTTTCCGCCTCTCTGGGTTTGTTCCAAGCTGATGTTCTTTGCCTCGGGAACATCTTGCAGCCTCTGTAACTTGCCGGATGCGCCTCCATACAGTTCGCGCATTTGGCCGGCGTGTTCATTGTTTTTTTACACTCGCTGGTGTCGTGGTTCTCTCCACACTTGACGCAGCGTGCTGTCGAGTGGCAACATCTCTGCGAGTGGCCGAAGAACTAGCATCGATGACATTGGAATACCAGTCCCTTATTAATTCTTTGGGGTTCTGCCCGTACTATCAGGTTTACGCATGTTTTTAGCGCAAAAATCTTTTCTTCGTTTTTTGGTACTTTCACCAAAAACAGTGGC